AAACCCGTTTACTTGCTAGACTTCACTGTCAGACACTATTGAGTGACTGACTGGCTTTTCTTCTTCTTTGGTAATAGCATACATGAAAAGAGTTGTAAAGGGTACATGAGCATTTGTCTACATCAATAACCCACTTCTTGTGATGGCCAAGAATAAACTGATTGAATCTTTGCGCAGCATAAAACGTATGACCATTCGGTACAATTGTCTGAAAATCAATACTATTACTTTTGGGCTCTATAGCTCTAAATTCGATGTGACAACTAATAGTCGTTATTTTCCCACTTGAAGACATTTTCAAGCCCCACCTTTTTTAGGGAAGTTCTAAATTAGTATTATCTTTCAAATGCAGTTGGAATTTAACTTTTTCATCTTTTTGGCCTGCAAATGGGACATAGTACCTTTAATATGATCATAAAGCAGATAGACTCAACTACGTAAACTATACTGTCTTGAAACTGAACGTTTGTGCTCAATAAAACTCATGCTATGGTACTTACCCATTAAAATTAAAGATCTGAAATCGTATGACGCCAACTATGATCAATTTTTCACAATGGGCAGCAAGTTAGACAGAAAAGGGCCCTAATCAATGTGTTAACCATCACTTTGCCATGCTAACTGTATAATGTACAATTAATTGGGAACTAATAATTAAGGCCATATAATTGTACTTACAACTCAACTATAATGGAAAAAAAACTTTGAAATAGAAGGCATATACCTTTCCGAAAGAAAATCAACGAACATTTGGGGGGACTTTTGGGGGCCCCATAATGACTTTCATTTGGAGCCTTGGAGGACACCCATCCATCCATGCGGAATTTAGTAATAGTGCTTTCTACCATGTCCGTTTACCCTCATTCAATAAGACGAAAATATCCCATAGCAATAAATGGAATAATTAGCTCTAATCATACATTATCATCCGAGGCATCGTTCCCAGAAATCCTGGCGAAGTGGCGATGTCGAACAATAAGGGCGAAGAGAAGGGTTGCATAGTTATTATACACAGTTAATCGTGGTTAATATTATCGGGAAAAAGGGCAATTGTCCCAAAGACCAATGCCCCCCCCCCATGTCGACTCTCCCACCATTCATGATCATGGATATAGCTAGTAAACACAAAAATACATTTCGTGGAGCAATAATAATTGTACGTCGCATCATGATGTACAAGTCTGCCGACAGATGGCGCCAATACCATTTAAACATAAAATGCATCATTGGTAATCAACAACGAGCGGATGAAATCTGACGAATATAAAAACAGAATTTCAATACCATAAGCACTTTGAGAATTCTTTACCCATTGGTATATTTGGACTTAGTCGTGGGCATTTTGCATTCCATACCGAATTAGGGGACCAATGACGAATGGACAATGGAAAAATTGACAGGATCAATAAAGTAGTTGACTGGGCTTTCCTGAAAAGTTTTGAGAAAGGGGTCGATTATCAAATTTTGTAAGGGATAAATGATATTGATTTTCAGTAAGAACGAGCTTTTTTTATCAGTAATTAACGCAAAACGAATAACCCTAAAATCACAAATATAAAAAAACACAAAGGAGTATCGTAAAAGTATTTTCATGACGTTGACACCAATCTTGATTCCATGCTTACATGAACTGATCATATTTTCAAAAATGAAGTTCATCCAATTTAAACTATTTAGGCCTACTCACTTTACTGGACTATCATCGACAATAGATACACTACCGGATTACATTGTACATACGGTCTCTGATTGCCTCGAAACTTATTCTGTACAATGTACATCATCATAACTGGTTTGGGTGATACGAAACATAAGCACACTTGAGTCAATGCCATGCACTATCATAATATTTACATAGAGAGCTTTTGCAATGATTCTATTCGAAATAATATTCGACCTCAAATAACTCTATTCAATACCTCTTAAAAAATATCTTCTGATCAACGGTTCAGCAAAAGGTTGGAATTTGAGGAAAACAAAACAGTCCGCAGAAAAGATCGACTGTTACAACTTTTGACCTGTCTGGCGCATAAAGCGTGACCTGCACGACTTCGCCCATCCGCTTTGCTTGTGATGCTCTAAAGATTGATTTATCATATTTTCCTGAGTTTATTTATTTAATACAGCATGATGAAATACTAAAATATGTTTTCTTTCCTTGTAGGATAACCGATGAAATATATTTGCTTTCCAATGTTATATTTTCCTTCCAAATATTTTGAAAATAATGGTGTCGAGAACAACTGTTGCAATATAATTGTAACATGAAAAAATCTGAAAAATTATTTCAATTGCAGGGAGCCTCTTCAGAAACTGTTTGCTATCTATTCCAAATAATATCACACAAAATAGCGAATTTTAATGATAAGCCTATCCCCTGAAACATGAATTGGATGTTATGAGGAAAGAAAAAAAAATTCTTGCAAAACTATATCAAAAGTTTCTTCTCGTCTTGTATGTTTTAGCATCCAGATCCTTTTATTTGCTTTTTCTTTTTTGAAAATCTCGGCCGGTTTTAGATTCTTAATTATATTCTAAAAATATGAAAATAAGTTTTAATCGTAACTGAATGTAAGCGCCCGAGAAAAACCCAGCACAACCTATACTAATTTGTAACATGACAGAACAACCTTGAAGTCAAGTCTATAAACTTCATGTTGAGTTAGTGTCCCAATGTTGGTATAATACTTATCAGTTCTGTAGTATTTCCTTCCCCCTAAAACAACTATGTTTCAGATGACTTCAACCAAAAGGTACATAGTTCAAGTGATAAGTCATCATGTTCTTTTTGTTTGTAAACTAAGCTATTTAAAGATCATTATCTGGACTTGTCAACAATAATTAATCTATTCATTCATGCATTACTCATCACTGGAAAACGCTAATTAATTTGGTCCACCTATTTACTAATTAATCTTCCAAAATCTCATCCTATCCTCAATTCCTCATCACATAATTATGTTTGTCATCGTGAATTCCAAATAAACATTCCAACACAACTATATGTATTGGCAAATGTCTTTAAAAGAAACGACAATCTAATCACATGGAAATTCTGTGTATATAGTTATTGCGTGATATTTTAAGAAAAGCATAATTATACAAAAGACATTAAACCATGTTACAGAATATCGTGGAAAGATATAAAAACTAACAGAGAAATGCTGCAAAATATGGCAAAGCTAAAACAAAACATCCTGATAGGAATGGTCAAAGAAAGAAAGGCAAAACAGAAAGTACCAGATTAAGATGGAAAACCAGGAACAATAAAGGTACTATGTCCCATTTGCAGGCCAACAAAATGAAAAGGTTAAATTCCAACGGCATTATAATTTTGAAAGATAATACTAATTTAGAAGTTCCCTTATTCAACTGCAAGAGTGTATGCCAGAAAACAGAGAATTTGGTGTGGAAAATATTTCAATCAACTCCCGAACTGGGATATACCTTCAATAATATTGACAGATATAGATCAGATTGTATTGACAGATAAATAAGTTAAAATCATATGACGTTCGGTATATTTGTTTCTGTCTCTCCGGGTCCCTGGTACATTATGTTTAGCCACAAACACTGACACTATCTTTACAAGGGAACCTCCCTCCAATGGTTTGATATAACCGGGCCAGTTTTGATTGATGTTTATTCGTTTAACTTTTGAACTGTAAAGGAAAATACAAAACGAACTGATGCAAACGAATGCGACTCTGTAGTAGGTTGCGACTCTGTAGTAGGTCGTAGTTAAAGAAAATTCACTGATGTCTTGTGCAGAGCAAGGGAAGTGAGTGTTTTGGGAATTTAAAGCTCACTTGAGAGGGATAAAAAATACAGAGGTCACGGCACTTGATATGGATCTCATGCACGTCATCGACTGGGAATGCCGTGAAAAAACATCCATATGACGAAAATATGAATGACATTGGCTTGAATATGAATGACATTTGCTTGAAAGCATCAGTAAAAACATACTCGGTGAAACATTTTAGTGCAAACGTGATGATGATATTTTGTTCAAGGCAAAGAGTGTTGATGAGTGGCTTTTGTTTTTGTTGTTTGTTTAGGGGTGATATTGCACACAATCAATTTGTTGTTACCAATGTGCTCTCAAGATGTATAGAAGTGAAAATACGTGTTGGGGGATTCTTAATTAATTATTAGTGATCACTTCATCTGGAGTGAAAACAATGGAAGCCACTCTCAAAAGATTTAATTTATCAACAACTATTTTAGCTAGTGTGGATTCTACTATACATTGGAGTGGATTCAACCACTATGGCATGCCTCTGTCCAAAGGAAGTGATCTTTATAATAGTTGTAGTTCCATTCCTCTGTTTTGGGAATGGCTTCGCATCTTGAAACTGAAAAAATAACACCAACAACATTGGACGAGCGTGCATGCGATATAAAATAATATAAAAATAAATGCTTTTCGGAAACGTTAGAAAATGTGTTCCACTCCAACTTGGTAAAACTTTTCTTAAAACATCCTTGTAACGTACTGGTGAGGAAAAGTGAAGGCAACTACGTTCTCCAAAGAGGAACTATATTTACACTTTTGTGGAAGAACGAGGAAAGGATTTCTATGCGTTTAGAATGGAATTCCACTAGGGGGTCAGTGGATATTTTATTACATGGAGGCCATTGGAGTGACACAAAGGCGAGGATGATTGTGTTTACTTCGTGAGAGTAAGTCAAACGCTCTATATTTATTTTCGTCCTTCTGCAATCACGAATTTCCTTCAGAACGTGTAAAGCATCATCTTCTAATTGCAGACAAGGTCTACAGTCAATAACAGAGGAACAAAAAAGCAGGTATGCGCATTATTGAGCATGAACACAAACTGTGCAAAAACACGATAATGGGTTATTCGCATTGTGCAAAAATTGAGATGAAAATAGTTGCGGATTTAATGGCTTCAGAGTTCGGAGTCAGGTTAAACAACAAAGTACATGTATTGTTGGCTTGGATAGAGAATCTGTTGATGGTAGATAAATCTTACCGGCTTGTACTTGTTGAGGCAGCATAGCGAATGACCCAGGTAGTGAACATCCCAGTCATCACAGCTATGAGTCCATAGAGAGCGTAGTACGACTCGAACATGTCGCCGAGCAGACAGACCCGATACACTGTGCCGCCGCCTTGCATTTTGTATTTGCCCCTGCTATCTTCATCTTCGATTGGAAACCTAGTAACATCTGTTACGTTCTGGCTAGACGCACTTTCAGGAGGTTTCTCCTTTTCTCCCGCCACCGACATGTTGGAGCAGGGTTTGCAATCGCAGACGACAGGGTGACTGATTGGGCTATCGGTTGCACGTTTGTTGCGATCGCTCGGAGTGTACTTCCGCAAACATGATCACGAAGGTGTTTAGCATGGATCCAGTGTTATGAATATGAACATTAGACGGTAGGCCAAGCACAATATCACAATTTCAGCATACATACTATCCTGCCCACTTGAAGACTGACCAAAAAATGACTGGGCATTAGACTGACCATGCAACTCATCAACGACGTGATACTTTGTACTCAATCAAATATTGATTAACCACCGATCAAACAAAACTGATGTCACAGTGAGAAAACAAAACATTTCCCCAAGATTAGCTTTTCAAGATCAAGAATACATTATCTCTTCAGCAGCGTTCCCTGGATACCGCGATGCACATAGTAGTCCCAGAGCCCGATGTGACAGTACTGCCAAAAGTACTGTGTACACGACTTCAATTTGTAGTATTCTGATCGTGTAAATACAACTTTACAATCGACCTTTAGATTCTGGGCAACAAAAGCACTATTGTAACTTCGCCAGGAATTTTGATAGTATGAAAGGACGTGATGGGGGTGTGTTTACACGGGCCTGGAATTGTCATGATTGAAGTGTTAATAACAAGTGGTGAGGAAGTTGCTGCCCCAGCAAAAAAATGGAAACAAAAATAAAACCCCACAAAATTTGCACAAAAGTTTATGCACACAACTTTCAAAGCAAAGAAACAGAGACAACACATCATTCTGCCAAAAACATGATTTTGGCTGAATTCCAACATGTCTCGACATTATTTTCACCGCAGAGTGCACGAAAAACACTGACTTTTGTAGTACGTCACGGTTAGAACTTCTCAAATGTATATATAGCTCATTAAAAAAAGCTCACAAACTAATGAAAACAACAAATATATAACATTCTATAGAGTGCCAGTTTTAATGAACTCTTTTTGTAAAATTTAATTGTATTATTCTTGCTACCGACAGCCGTTTTATGGACTGTAACATTGATAATAAAATATATTTTGTAGAAGGTCAAAGAAAGTTGAGCAGACGGATATACTCATGATCTATTCTTCACAAACTCCGATTAGCATTAGAAACAGGTCAATCTTTCTCTGACGTAAAAACAAAGTTACCTTCTTAGATTTTGTTGTTACATTTATTCTTTCTTCATCATAACCATTCTCTATTCCGTCCCTCCGAAAGCGAAATGGGACGGGGGGGGGGGGGGAGGGGTGCTATTTAACTTTTGTATTTCAATACTTTGATTCTATCTATCCATTAAGTATTCTTTCATTTTTAAATAATTTTTTCCATCATGCAGTAGTATCAATACTTAATTTCACTGCTGTTAATATAACACATCCGTTTATGATTGTGGTGTTTTCATTGTGTATAATTTCCAAAGGTTATACTCTAAAGAGGCATTTGAAAGGACCTTGGTATTTAGTTGAGCGTGGAACCATACTTAGTCATGAGACAATTCATAATGGTTAACTCAATATTTCCATCTGTAAGAGTTCTTTCTAATAATAAACCAATGTGCGTATTAGTAATACACTGCGATCTTTTAAAGTTGAAAGGATCTTAAAGGTAAAGACCAGTATTGGAAATGCCCCAATTTCAAAAAATGAAATGGAAGCTCTCATTACCAATCATGTGAAATAATATGTTTTGACTAATACATGATGATAAAAAAATTGCCGGGAAACCGCCTACTAATTCATATATTTGGTAAATTTGTTTCTCTCATGGTCTGTGAGAGATATAGGGTAGTCCCATATACATCTTTCTGTGTATAGTGCTCGTAACTTTACGAAGAATGGGCCAAATTTCTTATCATTTTTATGATTCCAGAACCTTGCAGATGCTAGATGCTAGATGATCAACCTTTTCTGATCGATTCCACAACGTTTCTTTCACAATGCAATCGCATGACCATAACTGGTCTTTACCTTTAAGACAATATGTGGTATTAACGCTCTGTTATGTTTTTTCGGATATTTATTTTTAGAAATAAAGGCTCAATATTAGGTACATATTTTGCAAAAAAATTTAAACGGGGGTCGTATTCCACATCATGAAGAATACAACATTAATTCAGTTTTCATGATGAAGTGCCAGCCTATATACACTGTTGGTCATAATGGTGGAATATTTATTTTTATCCCAGTTTAGGGAAGGATTTTTAAAAATTATTTATTTCTAATAGATCTAGATAATGGCATACATTCTCAGATTTTATTGAATATTAATTTGCGAGTGTTTGTTTTTCAAGACTGCTTAATCATATATGTGCTTCTATGCTAATCAGCTAAGGGACCTACGTCCTTAAGTCATAATTGACAGTAATGAGGATTAATGCCTCACAAAAGGGCACTAATATATAGCTGATCGACACGATTTTTATCCTGGGGCCTCACATATGATTTAACAGTCACGCAAAACAAACACTCGCAAATTAATATTCAATAAAATCTGAGAATGTATGCCATTATCTAGATCTATTAGAAATAAATAATTTTTAAAAATCCTTCCCTAAACTGGGGTAAAAATAATTATTCCACCATTATGACCAACAGTGTACATCTTAAATCCCGCTTTATGCGTTTTTCTTGTGTGGATTGTATAATGTGCTTTTCTGCATGCTTTGAGATCACTTAGCGGAAGAACGATTTCCTCAGAAAATGGAATGACATAAGTGATAGATAAGATATCCAAAGTCTTCATCCAAGTATGTCCCTTTATTTACGTTTAATATAAAATAGATATTTGTTCTCGTATAGACTTTGAACTATTGAACTAATGCTCAACTATTTGTGCTAAGTTCATTTGCAGGCTAATCTTGTAATCTAATGCAACTATGCAAGATCATGCTTCTGTAGAGTTGTGATAAATCGTTCATGGGCATTCCTTCAAGTTTCAAGGCGAAAATATTTGTTTTTCATCTTAATATTAGGTACTCATTATTTATGTCTCTTACGTCAGAGGATCAGGACATGGAAATGGTTTACTCTTCCTTCGTCAAATAAAGAAATCATTCATGTCTTTGACCTTGGTATTTAGCATTCCAAATTACTTCTTAAGTTGCTTTAAAGATTATCGGTAGGGTGTATTCTGTGATTATAAGGACGCAAACCTGACTTTTAGTATCATTGGAGAAAACAAGCGTTTTTTGCCAGCGCCTTGTTTCCATAAATACTACTATCATTACCCTTTTCTACTCCTAGTGCACCCCTACCCATCCAGTTTAGTTCAACCCCTGGATGTACATGTACATCGTACTTATTGGAAACGAATTTAACGAAACAAAATCACATATTTTCTCAAATCCATATCATGCTCGACATTCTTTCCTATCAACTTTTTTGTTCCATTTAACTTCGCAGCAAAATCATACATTTTTTGGGTGACAGCTCTTTGGTTTTTGACAGTGCCCCTGCCGGGATGTCTGCCCTGGAAGATATTTACGCCTGGTGGGGTGTTATTATTCCAAATCACAATCATCGTTAGCCTAGTGAGAGGGACAAATACCAGTCCCTGGAATGGAGTATTGAAACCAATTTCCCAAAGGAATGTTATTGCAGAAAGTGGTTGAAATGAATCATGCTTTCATATCGAGCCTTTTGTCTGAGCGAGTTATGCGTCCTCTTAGCTGCTATTAAAATGATTGAAACCATGTTTTAGTAACCAAGGTATTCAACATTATTTTCTCACCTCGTGTACAATAGTGCAAAAATGTTGCGTCTCGACTTTTATTTTTTGTATGGTATTTGTTAACTTTTAACAATTCCGTCTCTTCTATTTTCTCTTTTTTTTTCTTCTCTCTCTCTCTCTCTCCCTCTGATTCTCTAGGTATCAAGCTAGGGAAAAAACAAGTCCCCCTTCTCAATTATCAAACCACTCAGCGTTTGCCCACCCTTTTAAATTCTCAACTTTTTTGTATGTTATCTCTCGTCTCCTCTTTTTGCACTCATATGCTAAGGAAAATTCTACTCACGTTTTATTCGTTTTTTACCACCCCTCCCCACTCCCCCCCCCCAAAAAAAATAATAATAAACAAACAAATTTTAGAGCCATCAAAGTACATAAAGTTCGACTTCCTCTTTTATATTCTCACAAGTGTTCAATTCCAAATCTCTTTGTATGCTAATAATTGTAAAACAATATTCTGTCTTGTTTCCTCTATCCACATCTTCCTCTTCCTTTTGGTATCCATTAGTAATGTTGTATGCTTCGGAAAAGCGTTATTCTTTTTCCACTTCTTCTTTCCCCATTTTTGGTTGTTTCTGGTCCCCACGGAAGACGATAATGGTATTATCCATTATCCATGCAGCTGTCTGTGTCTCACTTTTTAATTTTTTTTTTATTACGTTGTACATTCTTTCGTTCTTATAATGTTGTGGTTTTTTTTCTTATTCAATTTAATGCCATGTGATTATTCCTGCTTATATGTAAACTGTATATTATATGAATAGTTTATAATTTTTGTAGTTTTGTTAATACTTTATTTTCTTTATAACGGAAATAAAAACAAACAAACATGCAAAAATGTCAAATGTATCGTGACCAAATTTGCCTACCCGTTTTGTATTTACAGAAATTAATGTTTAATTATCGGCACTCTCTCTCTCTTTCTCTCTCTTTTTCTTCCTCTCTCTCTCTCTCTCTCTCTCTCTCCCCCTCGTCTTCTATCAACCTTTTCTTCTCTTGTGTGTACCCGTACATGATGTTTAGATATACATGTATATTATGTTGCTTGGGATTGGGAAAAGCGATGTTTGCAATTTTTTCCCTCCAATTATCGGCTGCGGCTTTGTGACCTGCACGTAGTCTTTTTGTCATTTTTGATTCCCACAGAAATCTGTTGATGTCTGGTAATAATAACCATAACAGTTGACCTTTTGTATTTATTTTGTTCTCATCTGTCAGTTATTTCATACACCATGCCGTGCATATTTTGTATTGTTAGTTCCAAAGTTAGAAGAGGAATCGTGGAATTGTGATAACAAGACCTTGCGTGCTGCTTCCATGTTTGACCTCTGTACTTTACTTTGCAGGATATAAATGCAACATGTTCCTTCGATATCATCTTTCACATTTTTGTCGGAAACTGAAATGGAAAATACTTCCACAAATTCCTAGAACTATAGAATCCGATTACTTCAACATAACTATATAGGTCATGTTACATTTCAGTATACACATTAACCAATCTTAACAGAAGGGTATATCAGTACTTAAAAGGAATTATGGAATTGAATTTCAAAGAAAATTTTGTTTATTGGGGTTTCAGTTTTCAAGTATTATGCAAATATATCAACACTTGTTTATCAAAGACTTAATTTAGTTAATGGGACGTTTAAACGCCGACATGCAATATTGTAGAACACGTTATCCCTGCGTATTATTATCACTAAAATGATTTAACCTCAAAATGATACATGTAGTATAATGTCGTCTGTGCAGAGCCAGAAGGCCATTATCTCTGTGTTAAATTATATGAGTTTATTACGCCCTTCTGGCTCCAAACATTATGTTGTGTGACTTTCTTTTTACTGATCCAAACAATAGTCGTCCTGTGACCAAATTTTATACACAGTAAAAACGCTGTTTAAAAAAGTGATGTTCACTTACAGTTGTACACTATCTTAAACAACAGTTGATCAAATTGTA